GTTTTCTGAGTAAATTAATGATACTGTCCAGTGTTATTTAGATGTGGTCTATTAGATGAAAAGAGGTTAATTAAGAGAATCAAGTGTCTTCAAACTTATCGTTGCCTTGGTATCAAAACACTAGCTGGTAAGGAAATCTGTTTAAAAGAAGAAAACCAGTTTATCTTGTTATTATACTGGTCACAGGTGGTGAACTGTATGAAAGGTTAAGAGAAAACAAGAGAAAGAATGAAGGCATCACTTGATTTAATAACAAAGAATAACAAGGTAAACTACTAGGAATGCTGGGTGGCAATACATAATTTTATAACTTGATCAAAATTCAGTCAATTGCTTCAACAGAACAGCAGAAGTGAGTGCTAATGTTACATTATAAATTGAAACAATGAAACCACAACACATAACACAAACATGATGTGCAGTGGGCATTATGCATGTATGTTTTGTCTTGTGTTTAACATTGTCTCCTCTGCAGTGCTACTATATCATGTACTAATACTGAACTACAAGGACAACAAGCAATGTGTAGTACTGGTAAAACAAAATACTCATTAACTCCATTAAACATTACATACTCACCCGGTGTGGAGCAACTGGATCATGAAGAGAAACAAGTGAGGATTTATACTAGTATGAATGCCTTTCATTAAATGCTAGTAAATGCTATGCCATTGTGCCTTTTGTGGCAATGTTTATATAATTGTTCACAATATTCAGAGGATGTTGTGTGTCTTGTAATCTCGAGAGTATTGAGCGATCACAATGGAAACACACTATTACCATGCCCCTTGGTTGATCACTGTGGTGATGTATTGCTTGACTTGCTTCATGCATGTATGTAGTGGATCTACCAGCTCTGAAATAAAGATACGTAGATCTATACATGTATAATGCATATCATTCATCTTGTTTGAATTCTTTTTGTATTACATGTAATGATATGATTACATGTAATGATATGATTACATGTAATGATATGATTACGTGTAATGATATGAATCAAGAGTGGCCTCTTTTATTATTATTAAAACACACATTGATACCTCTTTTTATATTTTTATACAGATATGTTCAGTCCATCGTATATTGCCTGATGTATATTTACACTGTAAAGGAGTAATGATTGCTGAGAGTAGGAAATGTGGAGGGAAGCTACGTCTGATGGATGCTAGGAAGTTGTGTCGTATTGATGTAAATAAAACTAGAAAGATATATAATCATCTTGTGTCTAAAGGACTTATAAAAGCACCATCTTAACTTATTAATGCATGTATGTGTATTTATCATTTGTAATAATTGATAATCTGAATTGGCTGGCATTGTTTTTATAGTGCTTTGTTGTTATAGATAACAATCTGAAAATTTTTTAGTAAATGTCGTTGCTACATGTAACTATAGGTTCACTGCCTTTATGTTATGTTAATATACATACACAAACATAAAGTTATCACATCTCTATCTCCTCCCTTTTGTGTCCAGAGGATGTTGTGTGTTTATAGAAACACACTATTACCATGCACCTTGGTTACTATCGTGATGCATTACTTGACTTGCTTCATACGTAGTGGGCCTACCAGCTCTAAAATAAGGACACATAGATCTATACATGTATTATAATAATGCATATCATTTATCTTCTTTGAATTCCTTTGTATTAATGGTATAAATCAAGAGTGGCTACTTCTATTATTACTGAAATACACACTGATACAGACATTGCACATTATACGGATAGACGAGTACATACACAAGATT